CATGGCTGAGACATATCTGGGCTGCATGGAGGGGAATGATGGCGGCTGACTGGTTGTGGCTTTCGGGGTCCCTGCACCGCTGTCGATTATCATTATTTCTGTCTCAAAAGACTTGATCGCCAGGCCAGGCCGTGATTCTTGTGCCACGGTCTATTTCGTTGACACTATCCGTACTCCGTAGAATAACACATGTACCCATATTAGATATTTCAACGTCGAGAATGGCCACAGATTTTGGTGGCAGAAATTAGGCCGATAGCAGATCGTAAAAAGTAGTGGACGCAACTAGAAAGTAGTTTTGTTTATCGCGTCGAGATATACAGTCAGGCTAGCGGGCTTTATTCAGTGTATCTACCGAAAGATTTCAGCTTCACAAGATGCAGAATAAAGTTTGCCTACCGTGCAGGACTTGTGTTGGTTGCCCTGGCGTGCGGTGCTAGTGGGTTACTTGAGTCCGTCGTCTGTTGGTCCTTGTTGGCTCACCAGCAATGATGCTTGGTTTCTGGTTGCAACTGGAAAGCTCAGACGCAGCAACGCATGCTAGATGAATGTGCTGAAATCCTCCTCCCGTAAAAACAGCAAAACGGAGAGGGAAGTCTTGCTTCCAACACACGCACACAGCAAACAGCGAGCCGGGCAGCGAGCAGGGCCGGAACCAAGCCACAGGCTGGATGGCTTGATAGGTGGCCTCGAAAAGGAAAACGCAAAAAGTTATAATGACCCCAAGCTCCGGAATCGAACACGAATCTTCCTGCCCCTTTCGGATACGGTTCAGCCACCAAGCTTCCCCGTGTGTCATTAGGATATGCTACCATTGCACCAACTTGGGTTTGAATTCGTTGAGTGATGATGGAATAGTGAAAAATATAACACTTTATGCATGTACCCCGTTGGCCGTGTCGACTTCTTCACTCTGTGTATACGCAGCAATGTGACGTGGTTTTCCCATCATAAAAATGTTGATGAAGGGAGGAGAAGCTGCAGAGGCATCACAGAAATCAAGCATTGGTGGTGACAGCAAGAGTGGCAGAAAGGGGCTCTCTGATTGTCTACAAAAAAGGCTAGGTGGAGCGAGCCCCTTTCCCCCGCATTCGAAAGCGGGCTATTCTCTGATTGTAATTTGTAACGGCGATCTGCAATCTCAACCCTGTCGTGCCACCGCGTGTCTCGGCCATATGTACAACGCTTTTCCTAGCCGCCCATGTTCAGCGAGGACATGTCGGGGTACCGCAAATCTGCATTGTCCTCCAAAAAATTCATCCATCTCTTCAGGAATGAACTGCCCCTAGTCGCGCACATTCACCGTCAGCTGCTTCTCCCCGGTTTGGCCACCGACTTGCACAACCATCGATATACTGCACAAAGTGATGTAATGGGCTTACCTCTTTACTGTTTCTGAATCCCCAATCACCGTGAGGGACCTCTTTGGTCGAGTCATGGCCACTGTAAAACTCAAGTTAATCTCTCGTCTTGTCCAGCGTGATCATACCGCTATTCTTGCATGAGTTTGACACCCGAGGAGAAAAAAATGCAAGGCTCAGGCTCGCCTAAAAATGACATACCATTCAACCGTCTCTTCTCGCCTAGGAATCCCACTTCGCCCTTGGAATTGCTTCGTACGAGGCTGACAATGATGGCTTCCTTTTCGCGACCTTGAAAGCCATCCACACTACCGAGTTCAATGCCGGGAAATTTTTCCTTTAAAGGCGCAAGAACAGCCAGCTGCAAACGACAGAGGTAAGCATGCTTTGCTCAACGACATGAATGAGCATCCACAGGCAGTGTCAATGGAGTCGTACCTGCGCATTATACGGCGTCACCACCGCAATATCTTCTGCTCGCAGCCCGGCCTCCACGAGTCTTGATACATGTTGCTGTACCAAGGCTGCTTCCATCTCGTTGCTTTTACTGTCTCCATGTAGACTTACCTTGCCCTTCTTCGGGTTATCAGCATCGTCTTCCTCGCTGCGTTCAGGAAAATCCCCCCCTTGCGTATCGATAAATATGAGCGGCTCATTTGTGTCTTCATTGTCCTCCACTTCGTACGCCAATTCCTTGAGCAACCTAGCGTTCACTGCACCAGCAGCGACAAGTTTTGACTCATACAGCTCATCGGAAGGAAATCGCATAATCTTCTCGTGCATTCGGTATTGGGTTGTGAGCATCCGCTTGATCGACGGACCGTGAAGTGCCAACAGTCTGTCAAAAAGCGTTGTCTCAAGTGTCTGTCCTTTGATTGGCTTTGCTTCTGTGCCGTCCTTCAGCTTCAACGACACCGCGGAGTTGCTTGATTTGATAGTTGGGGGCAGCTGCAGGTGATCGCCGGCACATACTGCCTTGTTGGCCGACAGCAGCGGCACCCAGCATTGTGCCTCGAGCGCTTGACTTGCCTCGTCAATAATGACAACATCAAACTTTTCGGCCCGTAGCTGGTGGCCACCAGCTCCATGAAGCGTGGCCAATACGACCTTGCTTCCTCCTACCAAGTGGCTAACGCACTTGCGTTCTCTTTCTCTGTACTCTTTTCGTAGCTCTCGTAGATCGCCGTATATCTGTCGTCGCTCTTTGCCACTTTTCGTCTTTTTGATAGACGCCTGCTTGGCGTCCATTTCTGCACGCACGTCTTTGACTATTGCCCCGGCTTCCGACGTTTGTGTCAATGCGTCAAGAGAATGGTTGACAACGGAGGGTAATAATCTGGCGGGGTGCCCTAGACGTAGAATTGGTACTTTGTGCGGAGAAAGTCTTTCGACAATGTTGTCGACAGAGATGTTGGATGGACCACACACTAATACTCTCTTGTTGAGTTTGATGAGCTGCAGAATGAGCTCTATCAGTGTGTGCGTCTTGCCGGTTCCAGGGGGGCCGTGTATCAGAGCAATCTCACGCGATGCCAGGGCGAAGCGAATAGCATCTTTCTGCGAGTCGTTCAAAGTCGGATCAAACCACTCAATCTTACTCAGCTCTTCGTCTGCTGACAGGTCTTTTGGGACCGGTGATGGGCTGGATAGACCAAACAGCACCCGAATGAAGCCCGAGTATTCCGCCTCGCTCATCTTTTGCAGCTTCTCCATGACCAAATTCATCCGTCGATATGTCACTTCGTCTGCCAGTTTGACCATCCACACTTTACCCCCAAACGCCACTTCATCTTTGCCCTCATCCAATGCCGCAAAGACAGACGTCTTCTGCACCTTGGTCACCACACCGCGCGCACCTTTTTTCTCCAGTTCCTGAATTTCCTTCTTCTTGGCACTGCCCGCCGGTTGGTCTGCGACGAGCACAATGTCACCTGTACGCAGACCGTGCTCCGGTAGTTCGCCCGTCGAGGAGGTAGCACTATCCGGGCTCAGCTCCAGCACTGTTCGGCCGCCCAGACCGGTGCGTTGCGAGGCGACCACGAGGTTCGTGATGGCTAAGCCAGCACGTTGCAAACTGGCGGGGCTGTGATTGGTAATGAGGGAGCTTGTCTCTTGCACCTCGCTTTGCAGCTCACGCTCTAGCAGAGCTAACTGCGTGCTAGCAAACGAGGGTACGTCGACCGGTTCTTTGGGAGCCATGGCGTACAGTCTTGATATGGGGGCGGCTGTTTTTGTATGGTGCAAGTTGTCAGTGGTCACATCGCTCGCGTGTGATACTGTTACAGCAGTTCGTGACCCCACCAATGACGAAATTATAGCTATAGCCGACAGACTCCCAGCTCAGCACTCGCGACAAATTTAATATGAAAATTGCAAAGATTCGTCAACAAATGATAGATTCAGACTTTGATTACCAAATCAATTATATTTCGGGTCCAAGACAGTGGTTTCCCACACTAAGATATCATTCAATAGCGACGATGACCCAAATAACAAAGCTCCGGAAAATGAGAGACCAAAACGCCAGTGCAAATGACGCCCTATAGCAGGGTACAAGATGATTCGCCGAGACCATGACCCATTGATGCACGCCTTCAATCAGATTCAACATCATCAACCCTCCGTCGGATGTATCACCACAACTACGACCAGCGAAGCAACCATAATCGCCAAACCTACAAGGGATACCAGAACAATGGTCCCGCGACTAGCAGGAAATTTGCCCTTGAGAATCCACTCTTGGCTGTGAAAGTAGCGCTTGAACCCCAGCAGCAGGATCAGGATGCTGATGCCCAGAAACGTCGCACCGAGGGGGCGGCCCAGGCGGCGCAGCGTATCCTTTGTGCGGTCCGGCGTGTTCTGTCCGTCGCCGAGCGACGTGTTGAGCCGGAAGAGCTGAGTAACGGCGATGCCAATCGAGGCGAAAGCGAGCGACGTGCGCAGCCAGGCTAGAAACGTTCGTTCTGCCGTCACAGTCAGCGAGAGCACTGCATTGAGTTTCGGAAAGGGGAGCAGAAAGAAGCTCTGCCCGGACTTACCCAGGGCCAGGTGATCTCTGGCCACGCTGCCTTTGTTCTCCAGCTCAATTGACTGGTACTTGCCAAGCTGCTGCTTCCACCACGGCTTCTCGCGGTCCTCACCACCCGTCCTCGTCTCCTCGTCGTCTCCCTCCGAAGCCGCAGAGGGCGCCGCCGCCGCCGCTGTTCGGGAACGCAGGCTGTAGATGGAGCGTGTGCCGCTCGCTGGCGGCGCAGTACCGGCGTCCACGCCTTCTTGCGGGTTTACCGCCTGATAGTTGTGGCTCGATCCGCGCGACACAATGCCCGTCGTCTCGTCGGCCTCATCATCGGCAAACTGCGTCTTGCGACCAAAAGATGAGTGGCGCCGAATGATGGCCGGGTCGGTGCCCATCTCGTCAGCGCGGCCTCGTGCGTTCTGCGAGGAAGAGAAGCGGGGGGAGAGTATTAGCGAAAAAAGGGGGCCTTTTCTCCGAAACGATTGAAGAAGCCTACTTCTAAAATCTCGCTGATGCGCTCGCTTTTCGATTGCCGCCGCTGTCGAAGCCGGCCTCGTGTGGTATTGCTAGGTGTCGCTGAGATGGTGCCCGACTCTGGTGCCGCGTCGGGTGCGGGAGAAGCGGCCTCGTTGCTACTCATCGTGGAGAGCTGGGGAGGGGAAGAGCTGTTATATCTTCGAATTAAGCTTTTCTGGTCGTATGCAGGCTTGATGGCGTGAGATTGGGGCCCCCTGCGTGCGCGCGCCAGCCAAGGCGTTCGCTTGGATGGGGAATAGATGGCCCAAACGGGATCGCGGAATCGTTTGCAGCCAATGTTAGAGGGCAATGAAGAACGGATGCGATCGCGTCATTGCGAGATGGTGGGCTGCTGGCTGCCAAGCTGCAGCTTCCCGGCTACTGGATCTCTTATAGGGCACCGATAGGGCACTAGAGGCGCCCTGACTCCACTGTACTGCCTACCTAGGTAGGGGTCCCGGCCTGCAGTGTTTGGCGTTGTTATCAGAGCATCAAGCCTCATAAATGGATGTGGTGATCTGTATGTTTAAAGGCCATATTTTTGAGCACTTTTTCTGGTACTCTTTTTCGAGCCTCAACCGCCGAAAAAGGTTGGTGATAGCTGAAGAGCCTGGCGGAGGGCCCGAAGTGCATCACCCACACCCACACCCACACCCACCGAGGTAGTCACTGTTAGAAGTCGCGACACGTTGCATATAGTAATTTATATTGCATCTTAACCGCTTCAATTGGAGATAATCATTCAGTTAATAAACTCAGCATCCTCAACTATGCTTCTGTCACGGGTATTTTGCCATCTTCGTCCCAAGTGTCCACCACATCCCACATTGCCCTTGCCCAACCCGCCAACTACCAAGACCTAATCGACAGCCTAAACACAGCCACGCACGATGCCCTCTTCCCATCTGCCGTCCAGATCGAATGATTGGGTATAGTTGCGCACGGTAGCCCAGCATTGCTAGAGATTTCGGTCCAGCCAGCCATGCTGTCACTATCTACATAGATCAAGTAGGGGGCCTGCGAAGCAACATCCAGAGACTCGGCTCCGAGAAGCCGAATCGACTCGCGATACTTGTTCCGAGCCTCGGCAACAATAGCACTCAGGCTAAGCTTCGCGCTGAAACGTCCAACATTGGCCAGCAAGGTATGCACAAATATACCCCCCTCCGCTCGAACACATGTGCTCCACGACAACCATCCATCCAGCTGAGATTCAGTATGCGCCACCAGCTGCGTGCTCGTCTGAGGGAGCCTCGATAATCCGATATGAGCATGCCACTCGACGGCAGCGCCCCGCGGCAGCTCTGCGACCTCGACCACGAAAAGTGGCGGAACGCATGTCTCGGGCTCATTCTGCTGCCGCGTGGAGAAGACGTCCCAGTCGGGCAGTGGCCGTGGTTTACTGCTCTCGTTGCTAGCCAGGGACATGTACTGCGTATTGTACTTGAGGTCCCACGGATCCAGCGCGGCCTCATCCTCTTCCTCGACCGGCTCAGCATGCATCATGCGCCATGCCCTGCCGGCCAGCTGCGCCTTGCGCCTCATGTCCTCGTCAGATGCCGCCTTGTCAAAGTAGGCAACGGCACTTGTCCACTGCTGCACCTTCATATGCGTGCCGATACGCCACAGATGCTGCAGAGAGAGCGTGATTTGCTCGACAAGACTGGTGTCAGAGGGGGTGGGCAGTCTCATGCTGTTTGGTACAAGCGCTATTTGGCCCGCGACGTAGACGGATCGCGGACCGAGTGCGGCGTGATTGCTCGTGATGGGAATATCAATGGCCTGACTATAAGGACCAATGTTGGCCGGTGCCCAGTATGATCTTGACTGTACATGCAGTCCGTCTCGTATGATCGTCTTGGATGCTGGCGGAGCTGTGGCGTACAGCATGATATTGCGTCCCTCTGGTAGCAAGTTGCCGCAAGATATAGTGACCCGGGATGCGGGATTGGGTAATTTGAATAAACTTCCATACCCATGGTTGATTGTAGGAAAGTCAGACATGCTTCTCAAAACGATGATAACCGTTGTGAGGTGGGCAGCGTCGAGGCCATTGCTGGCCAGTGCTTCTTCGAGTTTGCCGACCACTTCAGTTGTCTCTTTGGCTATCATGCTTGAGTCAAAAGCGTTATCAGAAATAAAACTCCACGTGAATAGTTCAGGCTCATTGTTGTTTGAGATGCTTAGCCTTGATAATGATTTGATCTCGGAGCCTTGGACTGCGGGCACCGATGCTTCATCAGGTCGCACTGTCAAGTTTTCCAATACTTGCGCGAACCTCGAATCAAACAAATTTGGAATTCTCACATTCAGATTCGAGTCCAAGTTTGAATCATACTTGTCCTGTAAATGCGCGCCTCGGGTCAAAATCCATGTAGAGCCGCCGCCTTCTCGCACCACGCGCCGACCTCGCTCCGGCACAATGATCCTCCTCTTGAAGAGACAGCCAGGCCCGTCCAGGACCAGCGTCTCAAACTCGCCGCCCTCTCCCAGCGACGCGCCGTCGCCCGCGCCAAACTTGCGGAGCGCCCGCTTCACGCGGCCCGACCCGGCCTCGCTCGACACGCACTCCCACAGATGGCTCTCGTCCAGCCCGGCACTCGCCACCTTGATGATGCGGGCCTCGAGACCCGCTGCCGCCATGTCGAGCAGCAGCTGCGCTTCATCGGCCGGCGCGGTCCCGGGCGGGGGCAGCGCCGTATATTTCCAGAGGTAGGCCAGCGGCGCCAGGCCGAGACGCGCCGCGACTGATTCGACGCGCGTGCGTTGGTAGGTTGACAAGATGGCCCCGGAGCAGAGCGCGTTCGCCTCGGGGTGCTTTTCCTGGACGTCACGCAGCAGCGACAGCATGGACTCGGTTTCATCGACGCTCTGCTCTGCTGCGTCGTAGGCGTAGTCTCTCTCATGGCGCGTGGCCCCTCCGCCAATGGCCTGTCGGTACAGCGGGATGCCGGTGGCTTCCGCGTACAGCGGAATGACTTCGTGGCCGACAGTCTGGTACATGAAGCTGTTGAGGTCCATTTCGTCCTCGTGCGAGTCGCCGGTGGGCGCATCGCGCAGCGGAGGGTGGAGGTTTGCGAGGGCGACGATGCGATGCCCATTCTGAATGCAGTGCAGCAGACTGTAGAAGCTGTCTTTGCCGCCCGAGATGAGCGCGATGACGTTGAGACCTGGGGCAGCCATGATTATTCCGAAATAACCACGGCAATAACCAAGGTATGTAATTCTACCCGCGGCAACCAAGACCCTGGTGATGCCATCTCAAGCACAGGCAGCTTTTTTGGTTGTTGTGTGGAGCGAATCTCACGTGCAGGTTTTGGTGTTTGAACATAGATTCTTTCATTCACAAAATTAGTCATCGTCACAGCTCATGCTTCTTTATGATTGTCTACGAATTTGAAGCCTTGTTCAACAGTAGCAAGATAATATCTCATCAATGCCCGTAAGGTTTGATCAGAAGTCACTCACCACTGCTCGCAGGCAACACAAAAGTGGATCCATATTGGGTAGGTAGGTTGACCACGATAGACACATCCACAGCATGTGCATACGGAGAATTTTTCCTAGTTACAAAGACACAAGACGAACGTTACATCTTGGCTACCAAATTGAAATCTCGGGCATCTCATACCGGCGTCTACAAATAGAAGCACTGGACGGTGCGGGCTCAGCCATATAAAAAACAGCTGCTATTGAAACAAGGCGGATTCAGGTTGGGAGGGAGGGGGGTTGACATTTGACATTCCAGGACCGGTTCCGCACGCATAAATGTCAGATCCGTGCAATTCTAGGGAAACATGCCACCTTTCTCCCTTGCACCGTGATCGACCCTGCAGGCGATCACTCTGCATCTGCCGTCCTGCTCATGCACGTTGTCGACCGGCTGGGTAATTCCGGAAGTTTGCCCGTTGTGCTGTCATGTACCAGCAGTGACATGTCTGCCGGAATCATGAGCCCAACAATTTCCGATTTTATTTTTTAGTTTATTTATTTGGGCTGCTTTGACTTGTAATCTTGGCGAAAGAAGCGAAAAAACGACCGATGCGACGGTGATGTGATGTGATGTGCTCTCTGCCCATTTAGTAGCGTCTCTCTTTTTCGGGCATGAATGGCTTATTAGTGGCAAATGGGTCCTATTCTCCCCAGAGGCCCAACAGTCACGCAATTTGATGAGTTGAAGTGTCTGTGGGCGTGTCCGTGTGCGACAAGTCGCCGAATCTCGCGTGGCTTTGCCGGCATCTTCAACGCCTTCATTTCAAGTACAGACAAGTCAATACCGGCTCTCAAGAGCCGGTGCGCCACGCTTGCATTGTACCTTGACCAGTGAGACAGCTATTAGACACCCTGGGACCCGTTTTCTGTCTGGGGTTAGGCGCCTGGACATTTTTGCATGCAATCCGTACAGATTACGGATACCAAAGAAAGTAATGCGACAATTGAGCAGCTAAAAAAAGAAGAGACATTCATCGGCAGTTCCCGCCTAATATGAGGAAGAGGGTGTAACCCGTACTCTCTTTTGGAATCACCAGTGGCTGACGCTTTTTTAAACTAAATACCTATGCTCCGTTATTAGGTAGTATAGTCTACGAATATAATTACCACGTCTGTGCCCCCATTGCAGTGTGGTCTCATGCGCACCGGAGCCTCAGCACATCACAATTACGTCGATGCATGCATTATGCACATGTATTAGAAAATAATAGAAACTGAATACTCCGTACGAATAGTTTGCCGTAGCCACGGTGGATATCACAGTCACCAGGTGTGACAGTGGCCATGGACTGATCAAGCGGTGAAAGCTTTTACCCTGTCAAAGCAATAGCCGCCTTGCATTATGACCCGTTGCTGATATAGCCTCGCTTGTCACTACAAGCGCCCTGGTTATTTAACCCAGCATAAATTCGAAACACGATTCATCATTTCCGGTCGGGTTCGAGAATAACTGAATTAGTTTGCCCATCGTTGGCCGGTCCCTGAGTTGGACGTTGCATGTACCGGCACATCCTGACAATCTACGAGATCCAACTAGCTAGGTTGTTGGTCAGGGTCTAACCATGGTGGTCCGACCGTTTTCGAGGGACTGGGAAGATACTTGATATCATATGCAGGAATGAAATTATCAACTTCCCGGAGCATTACGGCCGTGATGGGCCACTACTTGGTAGGATACCGTGGAACTGCTTCCAGGTTCGAGCATGCCATTTTGCCCAGATTTCGCTTCGAAAAATAAGCTTCCAGACGACGGAAAGACCACACGGATGTCCCACAGCGGCTGTTCGATGCACGGGCAAAGCGGGCAGAAGCGGGATCCGTGAATAAATGGCGAAAAAGAGGCTTGTTGGATGGGGACGTCGGCCATGCCTGTCCGTGTCTGTACCAAGTCAAGTATAACCACTTTTGCCACTGTGGCGATTTTCAGTTTGAAAACCAACCGAACCAACCACGAAGGAAAAAGCCTCCGAGGACAGTCCCAAGCTTGGACCATGGAAGGCTGGGAAATTACGCCTGGTGTTGGGTAGAGGGGTGCAAGCGAAGTGTGTATGGTGTCAGCCCCCCCCCCCCCCCCCCTCCCCGGGAGCAGGAAGAGAAGCACAAGATTCGAATCCATCGGCATGCAAGGGAGCTGGTTGCACGGTTCGCTCTCCCCGGTCGCCCGCTCAGAATAAGAACTCTTTTCGGCTGAGCCAGGGTCGCCTGTCAAGATGTCTTGTGCCACAACGGGAAACCCAGTTGGGAACCTTGAACCTACCACCTAGGTTAAAGCGACCATGCAAGAAGCAATGGGAAATTAGGCCATTCTCCATTTTTATTCTTCTTCACTTCTCGGGAAATCTCAAATCAGCAACACACCTTTTTTAAATCGCATGAAATATAGAGACAAGCATTGGTCTCCACAAGAAGATCCAGGCACCAGGCATCCCAGGTACGGACCGGGGAAGCCTAGCATGAAGCTCCGCCAGCCGCTAACCAGGTTTACATGGGCTGGAAAGGGGGGTGTGTGAGAGCGAAAAAGAGGACAAAGAGCCCACAATGCAATTTTGAAAAGATGAGTGAGTGGGCAGGAAATGGGAGGGGTGTGGGTGAGGCCACCAAGAAGCTCAGACCAACAAAGAGCTGATGATACGAGTAAGCGTTTTATGGCACCTCGTAGAACCGATGAGGCGCAGACGCAATACGTATAAAGAAAATAATCGGGGGTAAAGACAAATTAATACTACATAAAAAAAGATTAAAGAAAAAAAGGTGGCACTCATGTGAGATGGAAACGTCCACCGCTTCAATACTGGGTCGCAAGACCATCTAACTATTGATGGAGACGAGAGCTCAATACAGCTTCATCTTCTTTACCGCCTCTCAGGATGCATCACAGCATCGTTACTCTCTTTTTTGTCTCTTTAGATTATCTCCACCCTACTTCCTTGTCAGATGTGGGAATCGGAAACGGGTAGGGACATAAAAGAGGCTTTAGCTGACATTGAGGGAAGAACGGTGTGAAGAAGAAGAAGCAAAAAAAAAGTTGCTGAATCCGAGCATGCCGGGCCCATGTCGCAATTTTTTTATGATTCGGTTCTCGGCTGCATCGGCACGTAATTCTGAACCACTTGACCAGGGGCCATGTACGCCAAACGATGTTGCGCGGCGAATTCGGCTTCCTACATGTTCATGTCGTGTAATACAAGTGCAAGCTAGACCGAAAGAATGACGACTGGCTTTTCGTAAAATGTTGCTCCAACTACATGTACGGATACAAGATGCTGCAAGTACCAGTAGCTGCAGCGGACCTGCATGCAATTCCGGGTCCGCGGTACGGGGCTCCTCGTCTCTCCCCTCCTTCCACAACTTCTTCTTTTGCTTCTAGCTCAAATCGAGACCAATATACCCAGATAGCCAAGCATACTAATTAGCATGTAATATGTATTCCACGGAGCCCATATGCATGCGAAATTGGTGCGACGACACAGACCAGTATGGAGCAACAATCTAGATGCCTGAAGAAATTGACGGCGAGTGGTCCCCTTTGGATCCTTGAACGCCCGTGTACAACACCAGACGGGACCAGGGTGTTTTGTTCTACCAGAATCAAAACCGTCTTCACAGACCAATGCTAGGCTGTGCGTACTCTATCAGGGGACCCTCGTCTCTGCCCATCTCATCTCCAGTGGGTGGTGCGTGCGACGAACCATCTGGGAACCCGACCCAGCGAGTCCCTCATGGGGTTAATTTGGGCTAGCAAGTATCGTAATGACCGGTTCTCGACGACAAGCCTGCGCTTTTTACCTCGTTAGCACGAATCAGCCCTTCGACCAACTATGAAGACGGGAGAAATGATTGAGATTGACATATCCGGAGCAACGGCCGGTAAATGCGAAGCGAGGCCGGCCATCGTCGGCAAGCTTGTACATGTACGGAATAGACAGAGCAGTAAAGTTGCAGCCATGATTGATCATGTTGGATAGCGGCAAGTACAATCAAGCTCGTCCCCATCACGTACATGATCACAAAACAGTCTTTCAAAATGGTTTCAATTGTATTCGTCCAATAACAATCAATTTGGCGGAAAAGATTTCATCTAGTCCAAGGTGCAGACCAGCCGCGCCTTATGGTACTAAAGGATTACAACGAATGTAAAGAAAGAGTAAACTACCTGGCCTAAAAAGTGACCAAGCAGGACAACACACCAATAACAAGAGCGCCTGTCACGCCAAATTGATCCCAGAAAAATGTTCTTTCCATGCCTCCGATACTTTGTCCAACTTTTTTTTATCGTCATAAAAACTGCAACCGCGGATGCCATCCGACGACCACCGTATAAAAGGTTGTATGTCAAAACTTGATACAAGAACTGAAAGATGTGTGTAAATGCAGTCATAAACCATGGTTTTGTGCGTCCTTCCAGAAACATAAAATGCAGGCAACATGCATGTAGCTCTGCCGCTCCCCTCTCGTTCAAGAAAAGGGCATGAAGCCGCTTACCAGAAGATGAGGAGAGAGTTGTGAAATTATTCGTAGAAGACGTAATGGGCCAGGCCCGGGGGAAATAGTTGTCAAGCTCAAGGCCCTTAGTCGGTGCGCTTGCGCTTCTTCTTGTTATCAGAGGCGTCTTCTGTAATCTCGGATACTTCGGAGCCGATCTGAAACATGACCTTGCCGTAAGAAAACTCGTCTCCAGCATTGACAGGCATGGCGCTGCCGTCAAAGTGCGAGGCGTGATCCTCGATAAGATCCATGACGATAGCACCTCCGGAATGAGTGCGGGCATGCTGGGCAAGGTTGTCGCTGCGGGAGAACTTCTTGCCGCATTCGTTGCACTCAAACGGCTTCTCCTGTGTGTGGAGAGAGCGGTAGTGGCGTTTGAGATGTTCCTGGCGGCGGAAACGACGATTGCAAAGGTCGCAGACAAAGGTCTTTGAGGGGTCCTCGGTGAGGGACTGCTTGCGGCCACGACGGCTAGGCGCAGAAACAGTAGGAGAGTTGTCATCAGACGGCGAAGAGACGGTCGATTCAGAGGAAACAGAGGCAGCGCTGGTGGCCTCAACCTCGTCATCCGTAGGCTCAGAGGCAACTACGGCGTCGTTCTTGGGCGACGTTTTTAGCTTCTTGTCACGGTGCCCATCATCGACGTCGGTAGTAGCGTCGGCGCTGGGGAATGGCAGAAAGGAGAATGTGTCGTTGTCGTCGAAGGCAAGTTCATCGTCGAAGCTGCAGTGACCCAGAGATACAACCGAGGAGCCGGTGCAAGCGCGGGGACGAGTGGTCTCCCCGGTAGCGGTGGCCTCAATGTTGACAAGGTTGCTGAAATCATCCTCCGAGTCGAGGTCATCAAGATTCTGGAAAGATGGAAGGTCATGGGAGATGGCAGGGTTGAAATCAAAGGTTGGCCGGGCATTAGCGCCCTTGACATCGGCATCGCCCATGTTGCTCAGTGTAAACTCGGGAGCAAGGGTAGGATTGCCGGTAGAGACGGTAAGATTGCGTGGATCACAAAAGTCGACATCCTGCTCAGAGGCGATGGAGCGAGCGTAGGCTGGCGAGGGCGAGGGAGACAGCGACGGGCATGAGGTCATAGACACCAAGTCGCTGGTGCTCTGCTGGAGAGCTAGAGGGTGCGAAGCGATGTAGACTGCAACATTGTTAGCAAACTAGCCCCACTAAGTCGAGTATAGCCTCGTGGCCAGCAACGTGCCTGCTGGTCTCGGCCAAGCTATGGGAACTTACCAGGTGTCATAGGAGGAGAAGCACAGCTAGACCAGTCAAGAACCGAGGTCTCAACCGAGTCAAACAGGTCCTTGCCGGGGAATCCATCAAGGCCGGAGAACATGGGGTTGATGGGGGTCTGCAGGGCGTCGAACATCTTGGGGCTACCAATGGCACTTCCAGAAGTGGACAAAGGCGGCGTAGAGGGAAAGTGGCTGTCATAGACGTCGGCGTCGAGCATGGTCGTCTTGTGGGCACCATTGCTGTAGAGGGTGGGTGGCTGAGAGCAAGATGAGCCGGGGCGGGAGTAGATGGGCGTGGCGGGCATCTGCTGAAACAGATAGGCCTTGCGAGCATCGGACTTGAATTCTCGGTTGTTGAGGAAGGCCTGGGCGACCGATTGGGGTTGCAGCATTGCAGCTTCCATTGTGAGTGATTGTTTCGTCGTTTGTCTAGAGCTGGCAGTTAGCACTGGCGAGGTGGCTTTGGCGGGGCAAGATGCGCAGTGTCGTGGACAGCCAACAGAATAGACGAACCTTAAACAAGCGGGCGTCGAGCAGGGGCGAGTATCGAGAGATTACAGAGTATAATAGTATCGTGGCATGCGTAGATAGTGTACAGAGTCCGTTCGAAAGAGCAGGCGGTTTGGACTGGGACGTGGTAAATGAGGCGTTGGCAGGAAAGACGTCAAAGCCAAGAGAGTCGACTGGTCGCGAAAGAATGTCGTTGGAAGTCGGTGGTGTCGGGAAATCAAAAAGTTAAACAGCAGCGGGCTATTAGGATGGATATGTTGATGTACATGTAACTCTTGGTGAAGCAGTTCTGGACGAAAGGTAAGGCAAGAGCAGCAGGCTGGAGTGTGGTTGGCGGGTTGGCGGCTTGTGACGGATGTCACAGTGTAAGGAAAGTGAGGTAACTCGACAAGAGGAAATGGAGAGTTCCAAAGGTGAAAGTAGACAAGAGCAGGCCACAAAAAGAAGGAAGAACCAAGGGCAAATATAAAAGAGAACAAGATTATCCAAAAAGCACCGGTTCCTAACAGGATGCCGATCGTATGCCTCAGGGACAATGGAGATGGGGGGGGAGATGGGCATAAGTAGTCGGCAGCAGCAAGAAGAGACGTCGCAGTCAAAGTCGATGCAGCAGCGGCGCAAAAAGACATCCCGGTCGAGCCAGCGACCCATCAAGCGACAGAGATGGGCAGGCCAGAGTGGAAACGACATCCGTTGCGTCCACGGTGTCTCACACCACACACCCAGCGGCGAGGAACAGGACAGGACAGGACAGGACAGGCACAGGCAAAAAGCAAGGTCGCCAGGATATCAAAGCGGGCTTGCGGGGCCTTGCCAGAATAGCGGCGGCGCGCGGGCGAGCGGGTCGGGGTCCATGGCACGCCCCCGGTGTGGGAGGGAGTGCGATGGAGCAGGTCATGATGGAGGCAAGGAGGGTGTGGGTGGGTGGCGGTGGTGTGGCCAATGTGGGATTGGCGTTGGCATTGGGTTGGTGACAAGGAGACACGCCCGCAAGCCCGAAAAGCCTGGTGTTTTGGTGTGTCTGGGGCGAAGAGGCAGAGGCAGATGGAGTGGATACGCACATTTTGGCGACTGCTAAAAGAGAAGCGAATAAAATAAAACAGACAACGAGAAGAAGAAAAAACAATAATAAAGCATCAAGGAAAAAAGGACACGCACGCCAAAGCCAAAGCCAATGCCAATGTCAATGCCAACGCGAGGTGCCAAAAATATGTGGGTCGGTGAGGAAGATGTGGAGTGGTTGGCTGGCAGCGCATTTTAATGTTCATTTTCGTTTTCATTTTCATTTTAAGCACCTCAGCACCAGAATTACAGATTTACCTACCGGCAAAAAGACACCGCTCAACCACGGACACCAGCCTGCATCCGGCTTGTATTCGTAGGTGGCGGTCTACTGGTCTGCCGTAGCGGGCAGCAACGCAGTTTGCCCGCCTGTAATCCGTACTGGATTGCAGGTTGGAGTAGGAAGCCGTCATGATCTGAAAGACCATGTCATGACTCTTGAGCAAATGATGCTTCTCTTGATAAAAGGTAGTTGGGTGTGATGTGACGTTCGTGGCCAAACGCTCCAGCGGCGCAGCCACAGCCCCAGTCCTTCTAGCGGTGCGGTGCTAATTCGGGACACACACCTCGCTGCTAACAAATCCCAAAGAGTACCTTGAGATACCATCAAGGCATATCGATCATGGGCATATCGATACACACGTTACACTTCTCGACGTCGCCGACCTCTGCTTATTTTACTTTGGCGCGTCCTCGTATGCCGCCATCCAATGTACCTACGTTGTACTCCGCACTGCGGTACCCGTATTCCCAGCCAGGCTGCCTCTCGCGGCAAATTAACAAGGGCCCAGCTGGCAGCCACTCTCATCCAACAACCACCACACAATGTACACATTGCACACCACCATCACCACCCACTCAGCCCACAACGTCTCTCTCTACCTATTCCTGGCCTCGTCTCTCTCCCGGGGAGGCTAGGAAGCCCGTGTTAGCGCAACTCGCATCCCGGCGGCTGGCCAAGAAATAAAATTTCCCTCTGACACAGTCGCCAACAGGGTTTCCAGAGACGAAATGAGAATGGAGAAGACGGCCATGCCCGTGGCAGCCAAAGTCTAGCCCAACTATTATTATTGAACCGAGCTAGTTACAGAGTAACAACGGAATATGATCCCAGCCTTCCGCGTAGTTTGTCACCCAGATTCCTCTTTCTTTCATAAAAGAAAAACAATTGCAGGTGGATGTCCTGGATTTTTTTTTAGGTGTGGGTAGAGACTGGTGGTGTCGAGTCCTGCCCGGCAGTACCTTCCAAGCTGGCATGTCGCAAACCTTGAACGACAATGTGCGATGCATTACGTGGACGCGAACATGCACGCACGCGCTGCGAAGCACGGCTTTCCGCGTCTTTTTCTTTCCTTCCCTTTGACTCGCCGCGCGTTCTGTTCAGACGGGGATCCAGCACTCCAGCAAGCCTCAGTCATCCGCCTCAAGGGCAGGCAAGCACAAAAAAAAGAATTAAAAAAGAATAAAAGAAACAAGTGCGCGCGTACATGCATATCCTGTGTGCCCAGAGTGCCAGACCCAGCCAACCACAACCGCAACTCGCGACGCGCACCAGCACAGGGCACTAAAGTCAACGCGCCACTTGTTATCCCCCAATGCAGTGCTTTTTTTATGCCGAGTCCACAAAGTCGCACACCCTGATTCCATCCATCACAATTCATGCACACTGCAGTTGTGTGATAGGTTGGCGGCTCGGACCACCCCCCTCCCTCCCTCTCAGTCTTGCACATCTTTCTTACTTGTGCAAACCAAGGCAGAGGCACCTGCGAGCAGCACCGAGAGCTGCATCAGGTCTGCACCGACTTGTGTAATGTGCAAGCACGGCGCCTGTGCACAGCCTTTGGGCGTTGCACTTGCGCACGCTCGACCAATGCCATGCACAAAGATGCCGCCGACGGTGTTGGCGTCATCCACCTATTCGACTCTTGTGACGACTTCGTTACTCTCTAGCGTTGTTCTTCAGAAGATATCTCGTCTTCGACTGTCACCCTTCGTCTCATCTCTCTGTTTCGTTAGCTGCCGTAGAGACGACAGCGCCCCCGAGTGAATGCCCATCCAACAGGGAAGCTCCTCAGCAGCCATCCCGCTAGCCAGAACTTGTGGCTGCGCCATACGTGCCATCTTCCAGCATGCGCTCTTTTCACCACGCTCTTCTGTCCAAAGGTGAGACCATCAAAACCCAATCTCTTCTGCTTGTTCCTCTCGCTGTGGGCCTCTGATCATCACAGCGGCCCCAGTCGCGAGCGTCATTTTTTCTCTCCTTCCATATTCTTCCACTGGCGGCGGAGCTCGGTTGGGAATGGAGGCACGACGCACAACTAATAATAATAGTTAAACCCAAATTCTTGGGCCGTCCAGATACGAAGAAAAAAAAAAGGCCACTGTCTCGCTTCCCGCGTACGGGACAAAGTCTCAATATAGAAACGGGCTGTGCATAATCCCCAATAGCCACATGCATTACATGACAGCCCACACAGCCCAGCTGTATCTGATACAGATATTGTGCCTGCATTGCATCGTAATCATGTAAACCGCCATCGATTATTAGAAATACGACACACGCACGCGCACATCTATAGACGGGTAGGAATATGTGCTACGCTTCAAATGTTGCAGCCGTTACTTGCTTCCACGCTCACAGCCGGCAGCATCGGAAAAGTGCAGAACCCTACTCCATCATCTCAGGTTAGCCACCAAATAATGGTTAGCGGCTATGGTTGCCGATTTCAAGTTGGGCCCTCGCAAATACGAACTCTCTGCCAGACTCCGACGTCAGCGTCATGACATTGTCGCGCCCACCACGGACTGAATAGGGAGTGGCAACTGCCCATTGCTACTGCTGCGCAACATTGGCAGCTATTATCCCGCTTTTCTGCCGTGCATCGCCGCTTGTCGCACCTTCTTAATGCATCGGCAGATGGCAGCTTCCTGTCGAAGAGATAATCAACAACGCTACCGTCACATCCTCAAACGAGTGCACATGTCGAGACCTTTGCCGGGGCCACGCCGATCCCAATTGAAGCCCTTGAATGGGATATGCTCGGTACTGGCTGGGGTGCAGTGACATTGTGATTACACTATTACGCCGTTTATGCACACAATAATCCAATAGAGGGCTAAGAGGCTAGCCGAGGCTGACTTGCCCTCATCATCACCATTGCACACTTTTTTTTTCTTTAAAGAGGTGGTGATGGGTTTACTATATTCTGCTGCCCGGTCCCAGAAAACCCTCTCGCGGATGAGTCGACGCCGCAGGTCAAATGCCCAAGAACAACAGTCACCCCAACTGCATGTTTCTCATGCAACTATGTTCTTGGCCAGGCTGTTTTACGCTCGCTGCGCAGAAAAAGCTGCCTTGCTGGCGACATGACAGGTGGGCCCAGCAGCATTAGCAGCAACTACATGATGGCTGCGCACGCATCGAGCAACCATTCACAGCGTCGCAACCGTTCCCTGCCCTACATCATTTCAGCCTGCGATGCACACTGCATGGAGCTAAAAAGGCTGCCGGTCCTGTTGCCAGCTTCAAGCACAAGAATACCTTGCCCGTCTAACCCCAGAAGAATTCAACCTACCCGGAAATCAAGAAAAAAAATCGAGAAACAACAAGAGTCTCAGCGCAGTGGCATGCCCGACCCCATCGTCTTGACATATCGCACTTGACAGCTTTCTTGTAGATGGCCGAGTCGAAAAGGCCGAGATGAATACCACACCCACGGCTCACCCACATTCGCGGGTCTCCCGATGGAAGCCAAATTCGTCACCGTGTCAAATCAGCGCTGGCAGGCCCCAGTCCGCGCCAGTTTCACCATGAAGATCTGGCAACGCGAGT